ATATTTTCACCCCATGTTCACCCCCTCAAACGGCCTGGAAAACTATGACGTGATTTTTTTTTCTGTCGAATAGATCGACATGGATAACATATCTCAAACTTTCAGGTGTACACATTCAATTTTCGAAGATACGATTTTTTCAACTTTCCACCCTATTTTCACCCCCTCAGACGGCCTAGAAAACTATAACGTGAAGTTTTCTCTGTCGAATAGATCATCAGTAATAACATATCTCAATTTTGTAGGTGTACAAAGTCGATGTTTCATGTTACGATTTTTTTAAATATTTCCACCCTATTTTCACCCCTTCATACAGTTTAATAAACTAGGGCGGCTCTGTTTTTTTTACTAATTCAGTCAATAATCGTATCATATTGAAAAATGGTAGGTGTGCAGAGTCGATAAATGAAAAAATAATAATGCGATATTTTTTTCACAGTGTACTTTGTGAATGTGGATAACTTCACACTCGTGATTTGGATAGATTTTAGTGCCTAGTGAAACACATGTTGCAAATTTGTGAATTGTTTGATGAAAATCTCACAATAAACTGTTATAGAGTACGTTGTACGATCGAATAAACCAACGTTCATTTTGTCAAGATACGATGCAATACCTTTAGTTTCATCAGCAGAAGAAACACAAAAATCACTCACGAAATCCCAATGATAATAATTGCTTTCGTTAACAAATCATTTTTAGAAATTACTGAAATAACTATAGTGCCTATTCCGGAATCACTGAATTGTGAAAGTGTCTGCGATGACGTTTTTCGAAGTTATGCAGCAACACATACTCCACGTACATCTCCACCATTTGAAAATTAAATCGCATTCGACAGGTCCCGTTCTCTTCCTTTTTTATTACATTAAAACCACGAATTTACATTTGCAGGATCGAGCATTCCCGTCCGCCGAATTTCGCCCACTCGAAAATTCCATCCATTAAAAACGGAGCGAACGAATTATCTCGATGGAACACAACGCAACTCTGCAATTGTAAAATTAAAAGCAGTTGCACCAGCTGCACTCCTGCAACGTTACGACAGCTACGAGAGTTTCGCAGTTATACCCAGTCCGGCATATCCCGATGAGGCTGTAGCTGTCAGTGGAAATTTGCAGGTTTGTTAATTTATTATGATAGGGCTTTTGGACGGCTCGAATTAGACGAACATGTAGATAGATCTTCTTATGAACTGGAATCCCAATATACTTTCGAAACGATTTAGAGTGTTCAACAACAAATTAAAAAACTTATGTCAGAAAGCTGTGGCCCCGACAATATCCCTCCTATTTTTATAAAGTTTTGTGTGGCGTCACTAATCGAGCCATTGTACATAATTTTCAATCACTCACTGAAAACGGGAATATTTCCTAAAAATTGCAAATTAGCCAATATGGTTCCAGTATATGAAAGTGGAAACCAGAGTGTGATTAAAAATTATTGAGGAATATCGCTTCAATGTACAGGGTGTAATATAAGTACGTTACAATATTCAAGTGACGTTTTCCTGAGGCAATTTTGAGAAAAAAAGTCTATATGAATTCGTGTCAGAAAATGCTTCGTTTCCTCTGTTGACCTGTTTCACTTAACCCCTTTCAAAAGGGGTTAAGTGAAACACTAGATAGGAAACTGTATTTTTATTTCTATTTGTAAATAATTATCTTAAGTTTGAGCTAGCTCCACTCTTTGATTCTAATCATGAATCTTATAATTTCTGTGCGACCCTATAATTGGAACTTTTGTTCTGTTGAGTTAGCAAAGCTGTAAATAAATAAATAAATATATAAAAATAATTGATGGATGTAGCCGTTACTACGTGGTAGGATATAAAAATGTGAGGAGAGGTAAGGACGGAAGTATTTTTAGCAACTGCAGATGACACAATTAATTACTTTGCGAACACAGACATAAAAGTTCCTGTATTCTATGAGAATGTTGAGATAATCCTTGTTGATGAATTTGAATTGAATTTCCGGAAGTTTACTCAAGACCAAGAATCAGAACTGATCGCAAACAAAACTAAAACTTGAATATTGTTGGAGTTTCATCCCAACACCAAACCATTATTTTAACACCTCTACATGTGTTTCAATCACCAAGTGATCATCTTCGAAAGGAAGATTAAACGAGTTTAATGAATTAAATGAGTTTAATCTTCCTCTTAAACACGTTTAATCTCCCTCTTGAAGATGATCACTTGGTGATTGAAACACGTGTGGAGGTGTTGAAAATAACGATTTGGTGTTGGGATTGAACTCCAGTTTCATTTATTACTACACCAAAGGTTCCAAACAGTACATCATAAAACCTATCTATCTAGAAACCAACACAAAACAAAAGGGCCACCTTGACCTTCAAACTGATTCACTACGTAAAACAAAGCCCACACAACAATTGCAACCTTTCTTCATCACCCGTGTTATCATAGGTCGCTCGAATGTTTTTTCTCGCGCGATAATTCAAAATTTGCAATAACTTTTAAGATATTAGAAGTTATTGCAATTTATCCAATATTTCAAACAGTAAAATGGATATAGGCAACTATCCTTGAAAGATCAACGCGGACTTTTTTGTTGACCTGTAAGAGAAGAACAATGTGTAGTGAATTGTTTTGTTATAACTTGAAGGGATCATGCAACGTTTTCGATAAAAGTTTTCCATGTAGTACTATCGACTTGACTTGAATCATTCTGTCCATTGGTTGCATCACAAAAACTGAAGCTATTGTTGTTGATGGTGTTTTCACAGATATTTTTTCAAAGGACAAGCACTACCGAAAAACCCTCAAGGCACTCTCAGAGCTGTACCTGTGCGAAAATAGCGATTCACGTTGGATTTGAAACGCTGGAGTGTGTTTTTCTGATATTTACCGTTCTTGGTGGAACAAATGTTCCAGACTATGAAGGCTGTAAGTGATGTTCTCGTCTCCAATCAGGCGGATAGCTCTTCTCTGGATGGGTGGCTTCAGGGTATCCTTGGGGGTGGAGCTTCATACAAAAGAACACTACTCTAAAAAAAGGTCTGATCAGAGCTTTATAAAGCATCAAAAGTTGCTGCGGTATGTACAGTTTCCTGATTCGGAACAGTATTCCAAACTTTTGAGGAGCACCCTTTCCAATTCCAGTGACATGATTGTGCCAAGACGCACTGGTGTGCATTTTAATCCCCAACAAACATATCAAAGCATGAAGCATGAGAAAACCGATGCCTGGGTTTTTGTAGCATTGAATTGAACTTGAATACTTTCACCTCCTGATGTCATCAGGACACAGTCTGAATAGTTCAAATACTCTCGAAGGCATCAGTCGTATAATCAACGAAGACCCTGCAAACTACCGCAAACTTGAACGGGATCCAACACAATCAGAGTTGAGAAACGTTAACAAAATCAATAAATCTTTCTCCTCATTGCCGGAAATCATACAGAGAACCATTATCAGAGCTAAAGCCGTTCCACCCAGGCTCTATTGTCTTTGGAAAGTACGCAAAACTAGCCACTGAAACCAATAGTCAGAGCCCTAGGCTCACTGCCCTACCTCCTGCCGAAACATTTAGCCACGCTCCTTCAGCCTCAGAAAGGAAAGAAAAACTCCTACGGCAAGGATTCGACGGACTTTGTTGGTAAAATTAGGAACTCAATGTTGGAACGACAATTTTGATGTTGTGTCCTTGTTTACCAATGTACATGGTATCAATCGTGCGTACTTGGATTTTCGGTATACTCTGTGGATTAGTCGCAACCCGCAAGGGTTTATTATGGCTCACACATATTCACACTAGACCAAATGAACCCAGCGTTTTAACGAAGCCGATTAGTTTGAATGGTGAGTGGTTTTTCAGGTCAGATGGTAAGAGTACGGCTCTGCCGAACTTTAAAAATCTGCTTCGGTCCCCAGCGGGGCAGGCACAAAGTATATGCTCTGCTGTTTCATCGTTGATGAGGTAGTCGGATAGTCAAGGTGCAAGATTCCCACCTTGATACCCGCGACAACTTTCCCATATAAGGGTTTTTGCACGTCAGCTACACCTGACGATGCCTTAGATTAAATCGTGCAGAATCATGGTCTCAGTGACATATTAGTTTTGTGTACTTTAGGAAGACCGTAAAGCCTGGGTGGAACGGCTTCAGTTCTGAGAATGGCAGTGAGGAAAATTTAATGATTTTGTTAACTTTTCTCACTTTGATTGTGTTGGATCCCGTTTAAGTTTGCGGTAGTTTGCAGGGTCTCCGTTGAATATCAGATCGATACCTTCGAGATCATTTGAACTATTCAGACCGTCTCCTGATAACACCAGCTTGGTTAATGAAACGCGCTTTGTAAAATATTTCACAATTGCGGTATGTGAAAAAATCTCAATTCAATTTTGTGAACTCTAATGATGAAACCATATTATTCAAAGTCAGCGTTCCCTACACAATCCACCACAAATAAATAACATTCACCAAAGCCTATATTCAACATTATTAATTTCTGTGTCCGGTAATTCTGGTCGTCAAAATTTAATAGACCTGTCACAAGTTTAAAATTGAATATTTGATGGTGGTATATGCTGCTGTTGACTTCTGATTATTGCAAAACCGCCAACAGTGTCCTGTCTCATATGAAAAATGAGACCACAGATGATGATTATGTGTAATTTACCCCGGCCATTTATTATTGAATAAACTCTATTCATATATTCGAAGGTGATCTTGAAATTTCAATACTAATGAAAAATACGTGTGAGGTTAGAGAACACCTTTATATTTTTTTCAGAAAAACGTTAAAACATCCGGAGAAATTTGTCACTTCATTGTCAAATCGAGAATACGTAGAATTGGGGCCAGGAAAACATTCTTTCAAGTCTGGGAATAGCAAATTGCGGCATAAGAACTAGGAACAATAACAAAGGTTCTATTCAAAACAGACCATTATATCCCTTTTTATGATTCACCCTGTTGCAATTTGCGGGAACTATCACGAGAAAATTTTCCGCAAATGTCTACACCAAATTATTGATATGTATCGGAAAGAGAAAGTGAAACTCCACACTGTCAGATATGGATTAGAGAATTTGAGAGTTAGGAATTGGTTATTTTCATCCCCTGAAGACGACAACTTGGTTGGTCAAACGCGCGTCGAGAAGAGTATTGTATTTCTGGTGACTGAGAAAAGTGCTTGTCGTGGAGTATCAATATGTGCAATACATTAACCATTTTCAAATTTTAGAAACTTTATCGTTTTAAATCTGAGTGAAACTAATCGGATTCATGGGTAGATTAATAATCACGATGGGCTGTAATGGGCCAAAGAAACTGAAAATTCGAAGTAATTCTGGCATGAATGTTCTCAACCATATTGTTTTGCACCTGAAAACAACGTACTTGATGAAATTGTAATTGATACAAATGGGTGAATTTGACCCTGACACATTGACAAATCACTTGGTTTTCAATTGAAGGAAATGATGAACACGAAAGAATCTTATATCCACATGAAATATAAACTACTCAAAATGAATATGTATTATTTTGTCAATCATTCATATTTATAAAATAGTTTATAGGTGCCTTTATTATATTTAACTTACATTGTTTTCAAAATGCTGTTTGGTAATACGATTAAAAAGAAATACAAATGAGTGTCAGAAACAAAGAAAATTTATTTCAGATAAAAAATAAGAAAAATGTACATTAATAGTGAGTACGTCCACCCCTGGCTCTAAGAAGTTTGGCACAACGACGAGGCATGCTTTCCACCAAATTTCTAATTATTTGTTGGGGTAACTGCTCGTAAATCGTCAAAAAAGCATCTGCAACTTGGTTCAGATTTTGGAAGGGTTGATCCTTCAAACGACTTTCCAGTTCATCCCAGAGCTGCTCAATATGATTTAAATCCGGACTATTAGCTGGCCATCTCATGACATTAATATTGTGCTCCTGTAGGAAATTTCTCACAACCCGGGCTACGTGTGGCGTGGCATTATCGTGTTATAAAATGAACCCAGCGCCCATATTTTAGGCAAATGGGACGATATGAGGTTCCAATGTCTCCTCTATGTAACGGACAGCCAGTAAAGTCCCTTTCTCTCTACAAAAAAGATCCATCAGATATTTATGCAAGGCTAGCTACAGGGATTCATGCCGCCCATTATTTGTGAAGCAAAAAATTCTGACCTTAATATGTCTTCTTATTTCGGAAACAGTGCGTCTCATTCACAAAAAATATAAAAATCAATTTAGTAACACCTCAACTTATAGTACACGTCAGTCTTACTCCGTTTCCCTTCCCACAACTTCTCTAGCCCTCACACAAAATTCTATTATTTTCAATAGCAAGAAGGAAAGAAGAAAAGTAATTCAGAAAGAAAGTGAAAGAATTCCCTATTATAGGCCCTATTATAGTGTGGACGAATGCTACCAAGGCTCTATCGAGTAATGGGCATGTAGCTTTGTGTTAACAAGTTATTGAAACCAGCACGAAATGGCTATCATAAATCATTTGGTAAACATAAATATATCTGGAATATTCACTCTTTTCGCTGAAAACACCACTATATTATGGCATAGCAAAGGTATGGATATCCTCAATGGAACAATAGCATGATGTGAAAAGTGGTATCGGTCAAAAACAGAGATTGTACATCTAGTATAACAGTTTCATGAACAAGAGCTTTCAGATAACTCCATGAAAAGGAATCCAGAGGATTCATATCAGGCATACGAGCTGGCCAATTTTGAGGTCCTGCATGTCCAATTCAGCGATTAGAGTGGGTGATGTCGAGATGCTGACGAGCAAAAGCACTGAAATGAGCTGAAGCCCCGTCGTGCATGAACCAGATGGACCGGCATCTGTTGTAACAAAACAGGTGAATGTTCCTGCAGAAAGTCCGTGTAGGATTTACCTGTTGATCTTGCTGATAGTGAAAATGGACCAATAAGGTAGTCACCAATCATTCCTATCCAAACGTTCAGAGAAAATTGTTGCTGTAAATGACTTTCTCTAATAACGTACTCAAGTGTTGCGGAAGCCATGAGAACGACCCCAACTGCAGCATTTGAGGTCCTACTCAGACTTCCACCATTGCACATCTACATACAAAGAGAAGCTCGACTGGTGACACACAGGTTATCGCAGGAGCAAACCCCAATCAATGCCCGTGGATAACTGACTGTAACAGTGGTGTCATCTGCAAACATGGTTATGTGACAGTCCCTCACATATTCAGGCAAATCATTGATAAATATAATGAATAATAATGGTCTTAAAACTGAGCCCTGAGGAATACCCAGATTAACAGCATGCTCAACTGACATGGTGCCTCCATATTTGACTGACAGTTCCGTAGTACAACTTTTATGAAGATTTCAAAATCATCATATCAAGTAGAGAGGACTGGTAAAACAGCCCACCGGTAAAAACGGTGGCTCAAAGACCCAAGAAGGAATGGAAGCCGGTATATACGGAGGCGAAGCAAAGACGAGAATTGCACTCCACCTCGGACATAATGCAACTGTATTCCAGGCAGAAGTAGCGGCCATCGAACACTGTATAGGGGAAATAAACAGGCACAAGGTAACAAATAAAACCATTACCATTTTTCCGACAGGCAGGCGGCAATTACAACGCTCAGCTCATTTCAAGCTTTCTCAATATCTGTCTGCTGCCTGAGCGCACTCAAGGAGCCAAGTCCCCAAAATAGGGTCACTCTAGTTTGGGTACCCGGACATGAGGGTCACAAGGGCAATGAGGAGGCCGATGTTCTAGCCTGTGAAGGCGCTTTCAAGGCTATGATCGGCGGGGTAGTGACATCATGTATTAAGATATCCATAATATCCGAATCGATAGATTGGTGGGGTAAGCTTCCAGAAATGAGGCAGGCGAAACAGTTCATAAAGACACCATCGCCTAGATTCACGAAAAACCTGCTATTCCACAACCGTGATGTTGTAAGGGTAGTAGTAGGTCTACTAACGGGCCATTAAGTAACATGGGTCTGACAGAAGAAACACGATGCAGGTTCTGTCAAGAAGAGGAAGAAACCGCACTGCATATGTTCTGTGAATGCGAAATAATAACAAGGCTGAGAATCACAAGATGCGGGCTATGGAGTCTCATCAAAGAGATCAAGCTAAAAATGCTCATTGTGAAAGTTCATAATAACATCTTGTGAAAAATTCACATCGACCGTAACTAAAATATTTAGTGAAAAATTTTTATTGTGCCATCGTATGAATTAACCACTTTATAACAGGCAGTAGAGCTTGGACCCACTATATGTGATATGGATATAGGAGGTTTCCTTTTAATCCATACGGTTTTTGGGCTGACTTCTAGCTGCAGTGTAATCTTCCTGGTACTATTTGAAGGATCTTCTTGTCTTATATCGCATCAAGTGTTCTTCTAGTTCAGGCCTTGTTACATTTCCTGGTCTTCCACTACCTGCATTTTTATTAAAATTCCAGTTTCACATAATCTTGCATGTAGAATTCTGAATGTTTCAGGATATGGAATTACTCTGGTAAGATATCTGTCCTGGTGAATTACTCTTGTAAGATAGCTGTCCTGGTCAATTCTCTGTGCTTCTTTCGTATTTCAATTTGCTAATCCATGAATACAGTGCATGTCAGCCATTTCAGCGTTAGTTAAATTATTTATGATGGAGTCACTGCTGATTGACAACACTATCACTGTCAGCTGGTGTTCATGATATGCAGAGTGGCTTAAATTTTTCTCTCGGAAACGATATTAAGAAAACACAAGCGACAAAAAAGTGGCATTTATAATTTAAAGAAACTACAAGTCAGTGGCACCGCTGCCAATATTATTCGCAGTGGTGCCCACTGAGACTCCACTAGACCCAACAATTTCAATATAGTTAGGCCTAAATAAGCGCCTTATTACTTCGAATAATTGTATCAAATTTCAGCCATATCAGTGTGAGGATATCTATGATATTTTATAAATACCGTTTTTTTTAACTCCAACGCTCTGTATCACAGACGAAGCAACTCTGGACATATGTTCAAAAATGACCTAACGAGTCACCCTCTGGAGTTTCGTACCATAGATATTGTCTTCGGACAATAAAGAATATTTATTATTGTTATTAACTGTGAAATGATAGCAGCAGATAGCCACAGTGAAGGTACCACAGTTTTCGAGTTGTATTCTCTGCGCTGTTGAATGAAGTTGACAATATCTATTAATTTCGATACTTACAAAAATCGATCTACTCAATTTTATTTCAGATACCAGTCCCAGTCAACGTCCAAATCTACACTAGCAATGCTAGAGATCACATGACAGGCAGCTACTACCCAGTGGAAACAAGTTCCCCTCCACCGTTTTTCTACGATGATTCCAACAATTATCAGCAACCAGTCATGTCACCAGAAATCATCACCAATGGGGATCATGGAATCATTTCTCCAGGATCTACACCATCTTCCTTCGTCCTCACCGATAAACATGGCCAAGTTATCGATAATATAAGATTGGTTACCACCACTGCAATACCAGTAGTTTTTGCTTCTAATCCAGCTACACCCAACGGAAGACATTTTGTTGGAATACGATCCACCGCTGAGGCGTCTTCAAGATAGAAATGGAAGTGAGTGAGAAGGTGTAAGGAAGGAAAAAACTAACGGGATAGTCTAAGTGATGCCGTGAATAGACTATAGAAATAAATACTCCAATGGGTTTTGCAAAAAATAGGGATAGAAAAATCAAATCAAATAACCATATTTGGGGTAATTCAGCTGATAAAGTTTTTGGTTCGTTTCATTTCCCAAACTATCGAATTAACCTGGAACGTTTTGATTTTAAATAATGTATATTTTTTACAGATTTTTAGTCTACAAAAATTTTAGATCTTGTTTCTTTAACCATCATATTACCTCACCGATATTGGATGAAAATCCATGATAACGTACTTGTGGAAAACTTCATTGTGTTTTTTTGCTGATACGGTGATCAACAAGTGCTTTTCAGGTCAAAACTTTTTTCACCACCTCCGAAAAATATTAACGAGGTGTCTATCATTCGATTCATAATAGCGTGTAGATGATTTTTGAAAAAATTCAAGTTTCTCTTACAAAAATTGTTGAAGTTGTGAACAATCAGCGAAAAAATTAGATTTGATTTTTGGCAAATATCTCGAAATTAAGAAGAAATTTACTCAATTATGAAATAACAAAATGAAAACTTGAAAACAAGTATTTTTTTTAGTTATAACAGAGCAAGATAAATTATGATTGGAAAAAGTGGTTCCTTTCTATCAATTACAAGTGGAAGGAACGAAATGTTGAATAACAATTTCATCTTCACGCATTTGTTTGTAATAATTTATTAAACAATAGCAGATAAAAGGTTTCGAAAATCATTTTCATGTAGCATCTGATCAAAAAAAAACAGATCGATAGTAATTTTGAAAAAAAATTATTGTCAATGATTAATGAAGCTTTTTATTTTTGATAAACGAAGCCGATTAGAAAGTATGGTGAGTGATCTTTCAGGTCATATGGTAAGAGTACAGCTCTGCCAAACTCTGGAAACCTGATTCGGTCCCCAGCGGGGCAGGCACAATGTATGTGCTCTGCTGTTCCATTATTTTCCAAACAGAGGCAACACACAGTTTTTCGACAGTCCAAGTCTCTGTATATGATGATTCAAATGACAGTGACCTGTAAGAAGGCCTGTTAGACATCGTAGTTCATCCTTACTATAATCCATACTGTTTGGTATCAAGCTTCGAAGGGTGAATAAACGTCTTGAAGTGAGTCAATCCTGGAAGATTCTGCCAGAAGTTCATAAATGACAGATTGTGGTCCGATGAAGCTGATTGCAGCACCTTCCTTTGCAAGGCAGTATGGCCGGGAATCCTGATCAGAGACAATCTCTTGAGTCTTTCTTTCGAGGAGAGTTGTTTTTGGTAATTTGCGCCGCTGGACTGCCCGAGAAAATTTTTACTGACTTGTGTATGAGGATGAATTCTTCCATTCTCTCCGTACACAATTCAATAGTGTAAATTTCCGGTTGAAATACAGTCGCATAGGTTCCTAGGCAGGTTGATATCTCTGTTCTGGATCTGCGACTGAAAACACCTACACCAGAACCTGAAGGTAGTTCTGCTCCATCTGTGAACCAACAACCATCTGCTCTTAATATTTCCTTATCCCGGAGGATTCAGTCCTCTCTACTCGGGAACAGTACTTTATAAGGCAGTTTGTAGTTGACAGTTGAAGGCATAAAGTCAGAGGTCATTTCCAGAATGCTGTGACTTCCAGTATCAACCAACAGTCTGTTGCACTCTGCATTAAATTGATTTATTCAATTGGCAATGTGCACAAATCTATATACAGTCCATCCAGACTCTCTTTCCAGCAAAATGTGGAGAGGAAATATATCTAGAAGGATCTCTATGGCCGCAGATGGTGTGGTACTGATAGTACCACTGATGGCCAGACATTCAGTGTACTTGTAGAGGAGATAAGTAACTGTTATGATTGGTTTAAATGTTGATCGCTCTATTATAATGAAAAGAATAATAACTATATTCAAATGAATTGACTTTTGCCTTATGTTGAACAAACATTTTCCATAATATTCGTGAGCACTCTGTAGCAATGAATTAGGGGGGAAGGAGGGACGTGATATTTCCTAACAAAATAGTTTTCATATGAACATTAAATGTCAAATAACTTGAAAATTATGTAAAATAGATGATATGAATATATCTTGAATCAAACGTTGAATTTATAACTGAGAGAGAATTGGGAAAAAAAGGTTTTGGCATTCTATATCTCCATCTCCATACAAAAAAATGTCTTCCAAAGAAAGAAAGCAAGTGATGATTTCCAGATTGATGCTGAAGAGACAATGAAGCAAGTGTTTTATTTCTAAAAATCGATATCCTCCATTGAGGATGACAGAGTTCCATTTACGTGAAATTCATCTTCTTTCATATACCATAGCAATCCTGTGAATAATATACAGGTTATTCATTAAACGTGCGGCAAAAATTTAAGAGACTATTCCTTGGACTATTCTAAATATTTCGTCGACAGTGATTATTCCAGGCTTAAAAGCCTGATTTGTTGAACAATTTCTACATTAACGCAAGTTTCTGTTCATATTATCACATCGAAGCAGCTTTTCTGACGATTATAGAATCTAATGGATTTCGTTTTTTCCATGTTCAGGTGAAGGAGGTTACATCTTTTTGTTTGTTTGGACACTTTCATTAGATAGAAAGTCGTGCTTTCATATTACTCACTAGTTTGGATTGAAAGTGAATATGGAACTGATGTTGTAGTTGTTTTGGGTTTCTCTAGAATTCTCTTATTCAACTCATATTTCTGATTTTGCATTAATCAAGTGGAATTATAGGAAATAAAAAGCCTTATCGTATGAACTAAAGTGAGAAATTTATAACATTAGAAAAATGTTGATAATTTATTCTAAAAATTGCCGAGGACCGAAACACATTGAACAGGAGGGAACGAAGCAGAACTTTTGAGGTGGTTTTTTTATGAACTAAAGTCTGTGAATTAATTTAAATTTCATGACCCTTCTGCTTTGATTATTGTATTGAAATAATATTTGGAAAAAAAACCTTTTATAAATCTTCTAGTGATTTATTTTGTCACTTCAACTGATATTTTACTCTCTAATTACCTAACTCTAATGAACAATATATCAATCAATCGCCGTAAATTACGATTCCTCATTAATTCTGATTATGGTTTTCATTAAAATTGCCATTAGTATCCGATATTTGTCATGTTATAGAGTTTATTGATTAATCAGAAGTTAAAGCTTGGACAGAACTGAACGTAATGAGTAATCATACATATTTGGGCTAATCAAAAATTATTGTTATATGATATTATTGATTTTCGCAATGCGCATTCCACCAAATATGATAACAGAGTTCTGGAATTTCATCTGATATAAATAATAATTTTGTTTGATATAGATAATATTGCAAAGCAGTTTATTACAGCGAATGTCCATTGAATGGCCTTATTGTTGTCTAATTATTGTAATAGTACATCTGGAATATTCAACTTCCTATTCAAACAGAATAATCTCGTCATAGTGAAGTACAATAAATAACCCCAATGAATGCTTCTTCGAGAAAAAATACAGTTTCGATAGTAAATTATATGGAGAAATTTTCGTTTATATTTTTAGGATGAATATACTGCTTATCAAGTTACCTCGATGGTCACTATATTATTTTACTTGGATGCAATTTTTGCAAAAAAAAATAAATGTGGTTATTTGGGAATAAATATATTTTCAGTTTGAAAAAATAAAAACTAAGAGAACGGATAGAATCCACAATGCCGGAAATTACTTTTTGACAACGCCTAGTCCTGGGAAGCTGAAATTTGGTATATAGGTGCTTCTTAGATTTTGGATCCTCACTAAGAGAGGATTTTCAATTATTTCAACTGATGATCCCCTCGTGGGGGTGAAAGGGGCGCGTTTCTCCGTACTACTATATTTTTGGAGTCTGAAATTTTGTATGTAGGTTCGTTTTATGTCGTAGATGTGCAATTAGAAAGGATTTTCGAATATTCCAACTGAGGATTCCTTCGTGGGGGTAAAAAGGGATCGTTCCTCCGTAGTGTTATATTTTTGGAGGCTGAAATTTTGTATGTAGTTTCGTTTTATATTATAGATGTGCAATATAAACTGATTATTAATAATTCCAACTGGGGCGTCAGCCGAGGGGTAAAACAGTCGCGTCCATAAAACAAAATCATCTATTCATTACTGTTTCTCTATGCTCTTAAATTTCCGGTGGGTGAATTTACATCTGATATCAGCATTGCAACCGTGCGCAGCCATGACAGTAGGGTGCTAATGCCGACTGAACGCCTCCCCCCACCCCTTTTGACCTTGAGACGTCACACGACCTTGAATGACGTCACCTAACCTTGAACGTCGTACACGTAGTATGAGCTTGAATGCGGTGTTTGACCTTGAGTGTGGGGTTTGACCTTGACGTTCGACACTTCGTATGAACATCAGTTCGATAAGTTATTTTGTTATAGAGGTAGGGAGGTGTTCTATTGACAATAACTTTATGAAATAATGTCGAAGAATGAAGAGTCCACCTATCGTACATTTTCAGCCACCTAGCTTTTTTGAGTATATGAGAAATCGGTTCTCTTTTCTTGATACCATATGAAAATCTCAAACAAGAGTTTCCAACTCTTTGAATTCGTTGTTGCTCATTTTCATTCAGAAAATAATGATACACTACGTCACAATGATTGAAAATAGATAACATCAACGAATCACAAATGAGTAATTTGCTTTTTAGGCTCAAGACATGCCTATGAGAGAGTAATACTTTCATTTTCCCAAATGCTCTTTGAATCAATGTTGAACAATGTTTTTTGAATTTGAGTTCATCATCGATACAAACTCCTAGATTTTTAACCTGATTTACAACCGGTAAAACAGTATCATCAATTCTTATGATCAGATCTCTAAGTTTCGACTTTGCGACTTTCCTTCCAAATACAATCATAGAGCATTTGGAATTATTAACTTCCAGAACATGTTTCTTCGATACATTAACGAATTGATTTAAATCGTCATTAATGATATTTTCGCTTTGCTGTACAGAGTTAGGAGTAAAAGAATAATACAACTGTGTATCATCGGCATACATATGATATTTGAGTTTTTTCAAACAGGTTGTCAAATGGGAGCTGTAAATTATGTAGAGGATAGGTCCAAGGATAGAACCCTGTGGGACACCTGAAGAAATATTTTTGTAATCTGACATGTGGTTCTCCACTCTAACAATTATTTGTCTATATGAAAGATATGAATCGAAAAATTTCAGAGTGCTTTGACAAAGTCCATTATAATGTAATATAGATCGAAGTAGTTGATGATTCAATGTATTGAAAGCTTTGCTAAAGTCGATCAATAGTAGGACAGTGATTTCGTCTCTATCCGATGCTGCGACGATATCATCTAATATTTTCAATAAAGCTGTAGCACAGCTATAGTTTGGTCTGAAACCAGATTGCATAATTAGAAGTACATTGTTGTTGTGAAGGTGGTTTCTCAACTGTTGAGCAATAGCCTTTTCCAAA